TGTCAGTAAACAAATGCAACCAAACACCATCATTCCTCTTTCTCTTGGAACTGATGTTGCCGACTCAGGTCAGTGTCATATGGTAACAGTGATGACCTGGTTTGAAGCTCAGTCTAGAACTCGTTGTCTTCCTGCTGGTGGAAAAAGTTCCTAGCCCTGCCGCATTTCGAAGTGACAATTCTCCCCATAATATTATTGTGATACAAAATAGCCTCTTAGTAAATCTTTTTGGCCTCTTTTCCCTCACGGACGGATGATTAATATGAGTTTATCAAGGCCCTTGCATGAATTAATACTGTTCAGGCAACTGTAAGTTCCTTCATTAAATTCACGAGATGATCTGACATACGCAAGTTGCGCCACAGATACTAGATCGTTCATAATCACTTTCGTAACCAAATGATGGTGGAAGCGAGGATATATTGCAATGGGGTATCAATTCAGTACAGTTTAGCAGCCACACGGTCACATCATCACTTCAATCGTAGCCAGCCAAGCCATAGAAGGTTGGCTTTCGGCGCATTGGGGTAGGGTCCCAGCACATCTCCCGGACTGTCTCGTCATACAAGTAGTCATCTGACTCTATCGCATCAGACCCCTCAAATCTGTATGGGTTGTGTCCCCTAAATTTCTGCAGATCGGTATGAGTCAAATGTTACATCAAGTGAGAGGAGCTGAACTTACAGGGTTGAGAATGGTCTTGCCGTGATGTCTTACAGCAGGAGCGGCGCGGTAAATCATGTTTTGATGTTCATGCATCATTTTTTTGCACTCCGCGATTTCCTCGCTCTCTTTTACTTTCTTTACATGTCTCCTGGCTTTGACCTTCTGCTTGAAGTATGGAATTGCCTCAAAAGTCTCGTAGACTCTCGTCGGCACCTTGCTAGGCATGTGGATTTTCTCAATCGTCTCGTAGACCTTGGTTTTGGTCTCGTGGACTTTGGCCTGTACTTGTGGCGCATGAGAATGAAGATGGAAGTTGACTGGGAAGTGCATATTGTTGTGTTGTTGGTTAGGTTGGTTAGGTTTGTGATGATGTAGAATTCCCCATTTCGCTGGGGGCTTTATAGCCTTTCAAAAAGGAGCGTTGGGTTCTATAGGAGCCAAAACTGGGAGTTTGGTGGATCGAGAAAGCTGTACATTGTACAGCATCGCATACCCAGAAAGTCTGAGTGTGGCGCTTCGCACTTATGCGAACGTGGTTGTGGACTTGGTGACTTGAGTGAAATGGTGTAGCCTCGCGTTAGTGAGAGGACACGGGAGATCAGAATGAATAGCATATCTAGATGCGCCACCTGAGAAGATTTGAATTGATAAAGCAAGTCACCTTACTATGCGTAGGTATGACCAATGCCTCCAAGTTTCCCTCAAGTCTTGATACTCACAGAGTTTATATGGCATACCACATAACGGAGTTTAATCATCGATAAAGTAGATCGTAGCTAGCCAGCTGACCAGAAGGCCAGTCCGTATAGGAGGTGGCGATTGCAACCCTAAACGCTATGGGGCATAATACCTTGATCATCACATCAGACCCACTGCAGGCGATGCTGGATTGGCGCAAAGAAAACTGAATTGCGGTGCTGACCCACAAAATACCGAATAGGAGACTGGGAGTAAATGCAAAGTGTGGCGCCTCCCAAATCTGGGCAGTTGTTTGGTTGTATTTTACCCCCTAAAAAGACGGTTACGAAGTTGGTTACGAGCGCAGAACATGTGCTTTGAAAGAGATGCATGTTCTGCGCTTTGAAAGAGATAGTCATGTTTCATCTTAATTATATATTCCCATGGAGTCCTGGATTGATACTCGGTACTTATATCAATTCAAAGTGGAGAGGTTTCGATCTCAAGCCACTTCAGAGCTCTCTCGTCATTCTTGAGCAAGGGAGCCAACTTCTCCCAGGTCTGCGCATGATAAGCATTCAACCATTTCCGCTCATCCACCGAAAGCAAGTTGACGTCTATGAGTTTCTTGTGGATAGGGCACCTGGAATGTCAACTTCAGCAAGCAACTAATGAGAGAGAGAGAAAATAATTTGATACTGACATAGTAACGACCTCGAAGCCGAGATAGCCTTTATCACCGAAATTATTGGGTGTGTCAACGCTGCGAACGAGAACGATACTCTCGATTCGAATGCCAAAACGGCCATCGGCATAGTATCCTGGCTCGTTAGAAACAGTCATTCCTGCCTTGAGTGGCGTGCTGTTATAGGCTTGTATTTGCGTCAATTTCTTTCGCCCAATCATCATTGACGTGGCGTTTTACCTATCCGTACCCCTAGGCCGTGAGGGCCTTCGTGAACGTTGAGGTAATGGCCAACGCCGTGGCCAGTGCCGTGACTATTCTAATGTTAATACGCTTCGCACTCGGACAGGTTCCCCCTACCGATAATCTGAGAAGTCTGTCAGTCAGCAGCCTTTGTGTTAAGAATGATATCACCTACCAAGTCCATCCTGCCAGAGAGGCCTGCGAGCCCAGGAATCACTGTTTTGATCAATTAGTACGACATTACGATTAACGTGAGACCAGCAAGAAATTACATTATGTATCCTATGCAACGATTAGATTGTTAGAAAAGTTCCACATAATAAATAACGCACCTGTCGTCCCTGATGGGAAGATCGCTGTATCCATGGCAATGTGGCCTTGGAGAACGCGAGTGAAAGCCCGCTTTTCCTCATCCGTCGGGTTGCCAAAGTGCTGAGAAAAGACTTATGAGCAGCGGTAACACCAGACGTATTGTCAGACCAACCCAGGTCCTTGTCACATCTGTAGTTCCATCAAAGAATTGAGCTAGAGGACGCGTAAGACAAAGTCAGAGAAACAACTTTCGTTTTCCTTGCCTCCAGAATCGCAAAGATATATCTACACAAATGGACAGTCAGAATCCCGACAGGTTCCACAAAGTCACACATACCTGATCTTTCTTGATAACGGCACAGTCGGTAGGATCAGGCTTGTAATGAATGATGGCTTAGAACGAGTCAGACTTAGCAGAAAACAGTGGAGTGAAAATCTACCAGCGTTCGGTCCAGCGGACGATATTGTATCGAACGAAAGTCCGCGGAAAAGAGGCAGCTCGCTGGAAACATATGTCTAGAGTCGTCGAGGATAAGAGTATTAGGTACGAACGATCTAAACGCTTCCAGCTTGTCCGCACCCTGGCTCTCGGTGACCTCAACGCCATCGTTGAGCTGCTCCTCCAGCCAAGCAAAATAGCGTGCCAACGCCACGCCGTCGCGTATATGCGACTGTCGGAAGCCTTCCAATTCAGTGGCATTCTTGACAGACTTCAAATCTGCAATAGGAGAAGGGGCAATAGTGTATTTGCCCTGGTCAAACATGAGCCCAAGGATACTCTCAAAACGTTATTTGCACTTGCCTTTCCTAAGGCATGGGCAATTGCAAAACTGGCGGTATCTCCAATGAGAACTTTCTAATGACCACTTGCTTGATTATCGAAGTTATTTATTGTGTCAAAGCACGTACTGCTTCTTCATCCAAGGTCAAAACTGATGGCAGCGTCTTCAGATAGTCGAAAAAGGCCCCATAGGGATGGATGTTAACAGCTTCTCCTAGATGGGTCAGGACATCTTTGTCAAGCTGGGTCTCCTCGACAAAAAGGTTGACCGAATCGACAGTCACAACAGCGTAGGAGAAGAACACTATGCTTCGTTTTCAGTCCATCGATCGAAATTTAAGGATCAACACGCACCTGGATTGTATTCAATATCAGAGCCACGTAAATTGAACAGCCAAGCAACTTCATCCAGCATATTCACAACAAATGCCTGGTATTTCTTCTTCGCTAGTTCCTCTCGAAGAGCGCGAATCTTGTGACCAACTGATTGACCAGCATATTTCTCATCAAGATGGATAACTGGATTGTGAGGTCGGGGCGGGCGATCGCTCCAGACGGCATCAATAAGATTCTTTTCAATGGGGACCAATGTGGAACCCTTGGGTTCCAGATCCTTAAGAATAGTGTCCGCGTTGGCTATGTTGAATGTCACAATTGTCCGAAGACTTCAAGATACATCGCACTCACATGCAGATATCAGGGTAGGGTCAATGCCTATTCGTGTTGAAGGTTCCAAATTCTTATGGATGATATGAGAAGGTGTACAGATGTTGCGCAATCATAAGCACCTTGGAGAGGAATTCCTGCCATGTAGGGACATCTGCACCTGTTCAGTTTGGCAAAAGATGGGAATTGCATAGTACCAACCTGGGAGACCTTGTTTCATCAGTTTCCAGTTTCTGGTTAGATGGATGAGATGTCACTCTGAGGTAAAAAGGTTGAAGCAACTCACTGATCCAATTGTTTTGCTGCCTGCAAGAAGTATCGACCATCCGTGAACAAAAAGGCATCCTTTGAAGTCACCACAGCACATCCTGCACGTACGATGAACATCCCGATAGGAAACGAAGGAAAATCGCCCACCTGCCGAACCGCTAAATCCAGAGATGAATGCCCGACGCTTGTCGCAATCGGCGAGATATTCACTGGAATCTGTGAGGATTTAGTCAATCTTGCATGTTGTATGATCGTTTGAGCTTATTCACGTTGATCTTCACTGGGAATAACGAAGGCTTGGACGTCGTGCTCTTTTTGAGCCATGAGCTGACGCAGGGCGGTGAGGCGGGTTGAGGTATTCACTGGTCCGCTTAGTTCTGCCATGGTTGAAATGCTCTTTTTGCTGCGAGAAGCCCGTCTGGACGAAGAGGACGAAAGGTATCGAATCCAATGCACATGACGGGATAACATGGGCCTGACTTTCCCAACTGATCGGGTCGTATATCGGAACGATAATTCAAGCGCGTCCATGACTCCTAAGTTCGTCAACTTTCAAGGATCTACATACATAAGTGCGCGACATACTTACTTATGCATCTCGACAACGGAGCAAAATCCGTCATTCTTTCACTGCGTTCTATCATATTGATTCATAATACTTTTTGAACCTGGTGTTATAACCTTCTTTATATTTCAACTGGTTGAATGGTCTAGTGGTTATGATTTCTGTCTCACATTGATGGTCACAGAAGGTCTCCAGTTCGATCCTGGATTCAACCAAATTTTTGCCTCTTCTCAGAAGCTCTCCGATTATAAAACTTACATCGGCCTCGCCATTGCTTGCAATTGTCATCAGTCTCGCAGAATTAGAGCATCGCTGGAAACCCAATCTTGATTAACCAGAACAAGTAATATCGTAAGTCCATCTCTGTAGAGGGTATCTATGTTACATTACGGGAGGACTATGCGAGCATCCATCGAGCCTGAACGACTAGGAATTGGCGAGTGGCTCTGGCTTCGAGACCCGTTTGCTCTGCCATTCAACTGTTGCTTTGATCCACCCTTCAATAAAGTCCGTTCATTAGCATTCTCGTCATCCTCTGACTCTTCCTCCCGAAGTTGTTCCAATCCCACCGCTTCTGACGATCCTTCATACTCGCCAAATGCATTGAAGAGCGTCCCTGAATTACTGCGATAATGTGAGCCTCGCCGGACCTGGCCTCGTGGCGCTGGACCTATTCGTGAATCTCCGTTCCATCCGTCAAGAGATGGACGGCCCTGGAGGCTCAGGCGCGGATTTAAGAGGCCTCCCTCGAGTGCAGAGTGCTCGCCGAGAGCAGGTTCGGTTGTTCGTGATATATTAAGAAGGTGCACACCGAGAAAAGTCACAGTGAAACCACAAAGGAGTGATACAGTGTTTGTTGCACCGGTGGTGTTAAAGCCTTGGAAGAGTATAAGGGATGCCGTGATTGTTGCGGATGTGAAGCCAACGAAATACATGGGATTCACTCTATCACAATGATGAGCTTAAAACTCGTGTATCAAGAGATGTACTTACACGTTAGTGGAAAATGTGTCGAGAGCTTTGTTGAAGTAGTTCATCTGCACAAGAATACAAAGGGCAACGAATATTCCCAGTACATAAGTTGCCACATGTGTGAATTGGTTTTGGCCTCCAAACGTAAGCTTCACTGCAACGCCAAAGCCCTTGATGGCCATGACGGACACTGAACCAACGAGAGAGCAGATGGAAATGTATATGAGAGGATTTGACCGGCCGTATTTCGGTGCAACGGCGTATATCATGATCAGGGTGAACACTAGGACAGTAAGGCAGTACAACAGAAATCCTAAATGACGGTAAGAGTGGGGGGAAAAAATCCAAAGAGGTAGTCAACGCACCGGGTCGCAGCACATACGTGAGATACTCGTCTACCGTTAGAATTTCCTTATCCTCTGGTGCGTGAAGTACGATGATGAGAGAACCAATAAAGCAGAGCGCGCAGCCCAATCGTCCTAGATGCCCCAGTTCTTCGTTCAAGAAGAAAGAAGCAAGGACAGCACTACATGCAGAAAGGTGAGCAAGGAAGTAGTATGAACAACAAGCTGGCGTACCCAATGAGCACACTGAGCGCTCCTAGAGGCGTCACAAGTATTGGTGGGGCAAATGCATAGGCTGCGAAGTTGGCAACTAGAAGGTTGAATCAGACGATATTTTCCAAACACACCAATTCGCCACTATTCACCTTCACCGATGACCACTACGTAAACCAGAACATCAGCGTTAAGCCTTGTATTGAGCTGCCAAGTTACGCACTAGTTGACAACCCAGCCCACCATATTGGATTCTTCAAGTACGACAGACTGTCTGTAGCAGATTGGGCACCGTAGGCAGCATTTCGTTTTGCAGTGTCATTCAAGCCCTGTCCAGTTGCATAGATGAGCAAAAAATAACAAAGATACATTCGTGAAGGACAATACTTTTTTGGTTATGATGAAGCTTGTGCCGATTAAGACGGAGCCCGAGATGGCGAGAGCAATACCAATGTATTTATCGTCGACCATGGGGACAAAATATACGGACGTGGCCTTCAGGCCACTTTTGATCTGTGGAGGTCAAGCGAAAAGAGAAGATGTCGTTGAACGTTACGGTTAAAGTTGGTTAAGGCCCAGCGATCTTCGTGGCATTCCTGTCGCACGTGCTCAATTGTTTACCGAATTCATCTTCAAATTGAAGTTTGCGGGACCTCAGCTCAAATCGAACAACTCACTGCCGCAATTCTTCAAGAAAAGAAACTATATCAAGTAAATTATTACAACAGATTCGCAAGGTATGAGCAAGGCCATGGAGTTATCCAGTCCATGCGAGGAGGTATGTAATTTGTCCAAGAATTGGATCAGGATCTGGATGGGCAGCTGGATCTTATACATAGGTGAGTAGAGTGTCCAAGAAGGAGTACAAATGGCAAGAATTCTTAAATACATAATTATTTTCAGGGCTTCAGTCGTACCGTTTGATTATCTTGCGTTACGACTCATAGTATTGGCACATCTTCTGGATCAGGCGCCACAGGTAAACCGCACGGAATGTTGATGTAGAGAATTCCATTCTCCATTGATGCTTCAATATCTTCACGCTGAGAAAGAAGAAAGGCAGAAGGGGAAAAAAAGAAAAAGAACACAGTAAGAATTCAGACTCCATACAGACGCGCCAGGAAAGAGCGCACATTGGTTTCGGCGGGCACCGCAAACGTCCTCGCGAACTCGCCGAACCTCCGCTCTCTGACAGTTGTCAAGTCTAGCATCATCCCGTCTGCGGTTTCTGCCGCAGACAGCGGCGGGAACACAGGCCGCGAGACACCAAGCACAGAAATTTGCTTAACGCGGTTCCAAGAGCACGTCGAGAGCGACACTCTCACATCGGCTTTGCTTACGCCTGGAACTTCAAGCATGACTCTGAGTTTCTTAGCCTCGGGATCGTACCATGAGTCGGAGCGGAGCATCCATTTGCGGCGAGGTTCGACACTTTTATCTCTGCTTGTTGAAGGTGGAAGCATCGTCATACTATCCATTGGCGACCTGGAACACTAACTCTTTAACACTACTATGAGAAAAGGAAAGTGGACATACCCTATCGTGGAAGTATAACCAGGGATACGACTGGCTATACTCGCTGGAGAAGGCACTGCTGGGGAGGGCATCGACGCCAATGGCACACTGGGAGAATGCATTACTGATGAGGATGCTTGCATTGATGGCACCACATGGGCTGATGGCTGCACACTGGAGAATCGGACAGCAGTAGGTTGTTGTCGAGTCGGTGGTGCAGAGCTCACGGCACTGGGTGGGCGCCTATACGGATGTGCTTGTTGCTGATGAGTTCGGAGTGATACACGCGTTTGCCTACTGGGACCGGCTGTTGAAGTAGGCGCTGTGTTTGACCGAGTTTCGACGTGCAGGGAGCGATGTTCAGCATCCCTCAAGCTCTCACGATGGCTCTCATGCCTCTGGGGAACATGGTGGAGGCGAATTGGAGTGTCATCGAAACCTGAGATGCTTTGAGAAGGTACAGCACGCAGTGGGTCTTCCAGTCGCTGCACAGGATTGTGTGGCGTGATTGGTGAACGCTCTTCTGGCGAATGAGAATGCCGTTGTTGAAGCACATTTTGTTGTTGTTGTTGATGTTGACGTTCAAGTTGCTGTTGTTGATGTTGTTGAGCTTGAGCTTGAGGTTGTCCTTGAGGTTCATTCTCCATACTAGTAGTCTCCCAAGGAGGAAACGTAAGTGGGGTTGTTGGATTAGAAAGGTCTTCACTAGGGTACTGGCCGTATGGAAACGACATCAGGAAGAGACACTCAAAGTTCTCCATCATGGTCGAATTTATAAAGCGGCGCTAAGAGTCATTGCAACACCGCCTCCGAATTCGTCAAACAATGGGCATGAGGCGGGAGGACTCCTGGAACCCATCGCTTACTGGGGTCCTTGCACAGCATTTGTCGGGATTCGTCGGGACACGTGACTTTCACTCCATCTGAGAAAAGGTTCAAGAAAAACAAGAAATCTAGTCGTTATACTTACAGCTACACTCTACCATAATTACTACACTACAATAACATTCAAAGCTCCAGGTTCGGGGCCATAAAACGTTTTAAAACCCCGTATCTTAACTCACGTATGTTCCGAGTCAGT